AGCGAAAAACCATCTAAAAAAAAAAAAAATTAAAAATAAAAACATAAAAAATTGCTGGGTCCAAGCTATACGTTCAGCTCAACAGTGCACATAGTGTCCAATGATGGTGTGTCCCATTGGAAACAAAAGGAAACTGACTTGAAGGCAAAGAGACAGTCAACAAGAATGTAGCAGAAAAGTAATGTGGTGGGAGGTGAGAAGTGCTATGCAGGCTAAACCGCGAGGCAAAGTCTAAGCTCTTTACCAGAAGGCATCTAGACTCAAGAGGAAACTGATGGGACAGAAGAGGTAGAGGAAAGACACTAGACTGAAAGTCAGGAGACCTTGGATCTGGTTCTGACTTCTGCCCTTGACAAGACATATCATTGTGGGCAGATGATTTTGTCATCAGGTTCTCAGCTGGACTTGTAGTCTTATATACCCTGGTTTGGAGCAAGTCTTTATTTCAAAGATTTGCAGTCAGGTTCTTCATTTTATCTATCTATGTATATAGGTATCTATATATTTATTTGAGACGGAGTATTGCTCTGTGGCCCAGGCTGGAGTGCAGGGGTGCAATCTCAGCTCACCGCAACCTCCACCTCCCACGTTCAAGCAATTCTCCTACCTCAGCCTCCCAAGTAGCTGGGAGGTAAGTGCCACCACACCCAGCCAATTTTTTGTATTTTTAGTAGAGACGGGGTTTCACCGTGTTAGCCAGGATGGTCTTGATCTCCTGATCTCGTGATCGGCCCACCTCAGCCTACCAAAGTGCTTGGATTACAGGCGTGAGCCACCGCATCCAGCCAGGTTCTTCATTTTAAAGAGCTGGAAAACTAAGTATCTCTTCCAAATGGAAATATTAAAATGGATCTTCTTTTCCTGCAAGATGCTGCAGTCTGTTTATATCACAGTTTACTCAGAGCCTGCTGGTAAGTCAAAATCCCACGGTTATTTTAGTCTGTTGACACTGCAGTTACGTATTTCACCGTGTGACAACATTACAGTGTAGGAGGGAGATAATTAGGGGCCCCTAAATAAAGACTGATTGATGGTAACTGGGTATTTTTTCACAGAATGCTTTTATTTATTTATTTTTTGAGGCAGAGTCTTACTCTGTTGCTGAGGCTGGAGTACAGTGGCGCAATCTTGGCTCACTGCAACCTCTACCTCCCGGTTCAAGAGATTCTCCCGCCTCAGCCTTAGGAGTAGCTGGGATTACAGGTGTGTGCCACCATGCCTGGCTAATTTTTATATTTTTAGTAGAGACGAGGTTTCACCATGTTGGCCAGGCTGGTCTCAAACTCCTGACCTCAAGTGATCTACCCACCTCGGCCTCCCAAAATGTTGAGATTACAGGCATGAGCCAGTGTGCCCGGCCCCAGAACACTTTTTTTTAACATGTACTGTACAACATCTGTGAACCACACTCTAAAAGAAATGTGGATCACTTTCTTTTCTTTTTAAACACTGCGTATATTTAAGGTATACAACTTGATGTTTTGATATACACATACATAATGAAATGTCAAGCAAATTATCCTAACCATCACCTTCCATAGTTACCTTTCTGTGTGTGTGTGAGATAAAGAACACTTTCAATTAAAACACTGGTTGGAAAAGAAATACACACTTTAAAAACATTCCTTCACTCAAAATTCACAATGCTTGAATAGCTTACTAATCTGTTACATATG